GCCCGGCTGCGGAAGTTTTTAGCGCCGGCGTGGGGGCCCGCGGCAGAAGCCATGAGCGCCGGCGTGCGTGACATTGGCTATGGCGTGCGGAACATGGGCCTGGTGGCCCTCGACACGGCGCCCCGCCTGCACCGGTGGGCGGCGCGCGGGTGAGGCGAGAGTGCCGTGGCGCTCTCCAAAGTGGCTTCACCTTCAACCAGCGGGTCCCTCCCTCCTGTCTTTCTTGCAGGTATCCGGTATGCCCCAAGTGCAAGACGCGCCACTCCCAGATCCTGCCGCCCTCGTGCCCAGCGACCTGATGTCGCTCATCGCCAATGCGAGCCACCGCCCGGAGGTGAGCGCCGCAGCCCTGCCACCCGCTGCCAGGCCGCACCAGGTGCTGTTAGCTGAATCTCTCCTCACACCTTCCACCGTCCTGCCCCTGCGCTCGCAGCCCGGTGCCGCTGCCATGCGGGGCTGCTACGGCGAGAGCCACGCAGGCAGCACACCGCAGCCGCACCCTCCCAGGACCCCTTGCATGCTATACAACCCCCAGGACCCCCCTACAACAGCCAGGAACACGTACTAGCTTGAATAGAGCTTTCTGCGCCTAACGCGCATCCTTGTGTGTAATTTGCCTGTAACCTGCTTGTTTTGTGAGTTTGTTTCATTTTCATTTTCTTGACATTTTCTCACAATCTGCCTTGCATTGCACGATCTCTCTTTTCATCCCCACCACCCCCGCCAGATACTGCCCTCATGATTCTTTCACCATCACCTCTGCTTTTTCTTCCCTGCCTGCTTTTTCTACGCCCTGTTCATTTCTGCCCTTGTGAGCGCAATGCACGGGGAAACCAACAGCACCCAGCGCGGAAAGACAGAAGGAGGCAGCTCCACATGGGGAAATATGGTGGTTGTTGTGCCGGTTTAGATGGGGCCAGGTAGTGGTGACGGGCAGGTGGTGGTTTGGGCGATGGGCAGACGGTGGCAGAGAAGTGATGCCCTCGATGACAAGAGACGCCAGACCGGCTTGTGCGTCCAGGGCAGCCCGGGCAGGCAGGCAGGCTCCGGCAGGCGCAACATGCCGACGCAGCGCTGGCCCCAGCGTTGCAGCAGGGTGCCGCGTGGGCTAGCAGTGGCGGGTAGGCAGATGGCGGCAGGACAGAGCGCGAGACAAGGAAGTAGTAGCTGTGGGGAGGAGCAGTGTGAGCAATGCAGGGCATGGAGGAGCAGTGTGAGCAATGCAGGGCATGCAGCTGCACGTGAGAGCGAGGCAGGCCAGAGGAGCCCGAGGATAGCCTGGGTTGGCGCACCACGACTAGCAGGCACCGCTGACCATCAACTCTTGAATAAGGAGTGGCCATGCATGCCGCCACAGCAGCTGCCCCCGGTTCCTGTTCTTCCTGCAGCTTGCAAGGTCGCACGCTGTCGCTCAGGTCGAGGCTGGGCCATGCGACGCAGGGGGTGTGCCAACCGCCACTGCGGGGGAGGGAGATGCGCAGAAGTGGTATGAAAAGCGGGAGGGCGCTCACTGGGCCTCCTCCTGCCTAAGCTGGCATCGGTTATGCTAGGAATGGAGAACACACTGTTGACTGCAGTGCACACTGTTGACCCGACTAGAGGCACAGCACAGCATGTCATGGCGTGGGATAGAGGTAGGGACAAGGCGGTCCCGTTCTGCCCAATTGTGCGTTGTGTTCGTCC